GGTCTTTAACCACCTTCTCCATTATTCGTGATATTACTGGTGTTATATTGATAGGTCTATAGTTTCATGCACTGATTTTGGCCCCTGCTTTGTGCTTAGGTAACATGTATGTGGTTTTCCACACTTCAGGATAAGTTCCAGTTTCCAACGAGAGAGTAAGTATTCTAAGTAACAAGACTACCATTTCCGTGCTACCATTTTTGTATATGACAGATGGTATGTCGTCTGTTCCAGTACTACCATTAGAGTTCAATGTCTTAATCGCTGAGTCTATATTTTGTATATTAAAGTCTATTTCGCCTAATTTGTGGTTACTTTTGCAGGTCATTTGGAAATTTTGGGTCGGGTACACTCTGGCGTCATTGCAAAACCACTCACTGAGGGGTTCACTTATAACCTGGGGATCATTGTATATTATACCCTTATGTTCCAAGCTGCTTACAGTGTTGTCTTTACTGCTTTTTAGAAATTTCTGCAATATCCTACAAAGTTCCTGAGTTTTGGAGTTACCCTCAAGCGCTTTATTTTCTTCAAGTTGTGACATCATTTTGTGTTTATCTTCAAGCCGTTTAAGAGTTTCATGTATTTGGTTTAACGCATTAAATAACTTAAATACATGGCATTTCCTTTTCAATTTCTTTAGTTTCAGTCGCGTTTTGCGGTCTATAAATGGAGTTGGTGTCTTTAGAGCAGATTTTAGGGGCGCGATTGTGTCTCTTGCTGAGCCAATTGTTTTGCAGAAAATCTCAAGTGATACTTCTAAGTTATTGTTGATGAAGTATTCTTCCCAGTGATAACTTATCAACAGATATGATAGGAAGTCCCAATCGGCATTCTTATAGTCCCTATATTGATAGGGACTAAAGTGTTCTAAATATCACATTTTTTCATCAATTAGAAGAGGTATCCACCCTTTGGAACAGAACACACTATGTAGGTGTGGAACTTAGCGACTGTGGTAGAACGTTATTCCATATCAGATAAGTTTTTTGACACAGTACTAATAACTGGATGACGTTTCTAGAAATGTTTATTGCCCGTCGCCACACCAATTAGTTCACACGACTTCATAATTTGCCCTATGTATTTTGTATCTTATTACTCATTGTAATTTTCCACATATTGGGGCTTAAGTTGAACATATTTGGTGCTGACTGGATGAACAAAGATTCATTGATTAACCTGTCTGTCCACCTAATATAGTTAGAAGGAGAAGCCATGCGATATGATTATGGCGAATCAGTTGTGCTGGAAACGTCATCCTGCTATTAATTACTCATCGCCATATATCACATCTGATTAGGTCATCTAGTTTGGAAAAGTGGTTGTTTGCTTTCAGAACAAACTGTATAATGAAAGTTTGCAGAAATCAGCTATGTTTAAGTCTAGCTACAGACAGCTTTGCGGTGACCTGTTGACACCTCATAATGTTACGAGTGAGCATACTTACTTACACAAAGGTGGCAACCTACGAATGGCTGCTCATCAGAGGGCGAAGACTGGACTGCTCTCTTTGAGTTTAGTTCCCTTGAAAGTCTTTATCAGTTGCTGCCCCTCCAGCCTAATCATACAGCAACACATGGACTACGAACAACTGACTGATTCCTGGACCAAAACGCAACATCATGTACCCGGCTCAACGAATAGATCTCAGCTGAACATTTTCTCGGACATTACTCAGTCTCCCTTGTCCCACTGTTCTTATAGTCTATTTTTCATTCACTCCCTATTGTCTGTCCATTTGTTTGTCCATTTTTGTATTCGCGTCCACATACCGGACGCTGATTACAATAATACTACTAACACTCCACATTTAGACCACCCGGAACAACTAACGAGCGATAGGACTAACTCCCGTCATTGCAGCACCACTGTCCTTACATACTACGTATCAAAAATGAAATATGAATGGCCCCTCATATCATTCCATCCGACATCAACCAACTCCACAAAAGAAGATTGGCGATCAGATAGGAAAAGCTCACCACAGCTCGGAAACTGTTGCCTCGCTAGATCGTAAAAGTGATTCTGAGTCTTAGATGCTTGACACAATTTATTCTCGCTGTGCCTAACACTTGATCAGCCACACATTTTGTTGACTATCTGATGTCTAAAGAATGAATTGACTAGTGAAAGATAAGAGCACTAACACAACATAAGGATCCTAGACGTGATCACGCAATCCCGTTTGTTTTTTCCCAAAAGTTGGGCACATTGAGGAAATTATGATAGTTATGAAATGACTTCGGTCAGTCTATGACAAATTTAGACGGGTTTCAAGATAAAATGCGACCTCAAGTAGTGGAAAATAAGTACTTCAACCGAGAGGCCCTTTCAGCTTTCTTCAGCTGTATAGTAGCGTTTACACAAACTTCTCCACAAATGGAGGCAGCGACGGAAGAGATGGATTGATGGCTACTACCAATCAGTAAATAGGGGAAGTCGAATGAGGCTTGTGAGGTTACGTAATGAGACGAGTGATTTAGTTCGCAGTTTGTGATAAATGGTACACACGGAAACGAAAGGGGTGTAATAGTACGCAGAAATTCGAAAGTATGGAATAACCGGAAATAATTAAAATATTGGTCAAAAAGAGCGGGTTCGTTACCATGATAGTAGAATTAGTTGAAGAATTCATTTGTATACACATAGCTTCAGTTTTCCTATCTAGATGATCACAGCCTCAGTAGTGCATTTGAGATAAAAATGCCTTGTTTTTGGCAGGTTACCACACACTTTGTTGAATGTTTTGTGAGAGACATTGGTTGAGGTAGAACGACCAGTGTTGATGTTTTGAATTATTGTGTCCCTTACGAAATCCCCGCAAACTTGGTGTCACAGTGCAGAATTGAGTTCTTCAACCCATGCAGACAGGATGCGAGTCGAACGACAGATACACCTAGCTTCACAGGAGCAGATGACCTGATATACGAACAGAAAAGTGGTCGGATAGTAGATCTTGTCATTTGGAATCCACCTGACCAGTGAACGATTACGGAACACAGCTCGTAGCATTCTGCGAACAGCACTACTCTCAAAGGTATTAGGATTATTCTTTTATGGACATCAGTTGCTAGGTCACCTTTTAAATCAGTATTCATTTACAGCCTCTTTCTGATAATGTTTGTCCCTGCTTTCTTTGTATGGAGACTCTAGAGTTCAGGACTGCGAATAAGTTGGACACTAGTCGTTTCCGTTTATTCGACACCTAGCTTCAGAAACCTACCAACTGGAAGCATCATATGGGTTTCTTATGGACAGGCATACTCAAGGCTTTTTGTTGGTTTGAGAATAATAAAAAGAATTCTTGGTCCATTCTCCATTGCACGAGTGGAATTTTTGCAAGATGGTAGTTATTTGGTACCTGTCACAACGAATTAAAGATTTAATCATAGTCCCCTATTAAGAAATCACAATATTACATCAGTTAAATCTTCCCCCAAAACTAAGGCCACTTAAAACCAATAGCAACATAGCAACAAGCGTCACTGAGCGGATATGCAGTAAAGTCGCTCGTGGCTTTCCATGAAACAGTCTGCTAGCAATAAATCTAAACAAAATCCAATTACTATCAAATTTTTTTCGTTTGTAAGACTGATTCCTTCAAACATGATTTCATCGTTTCGATGTTCAGCCAGTTATCACCTATATATTCGCACATAAAATACATGGTTCTCGTTGGTGAAAAAAAGGGGATGGATTCTATGTCAACAATCAGCATACTTTTGTTAGAGATATCATATTCCGTATGCAACCGATGAACTGGAAAGGGCCATTAAGAAAGTACGTGTACACCAATATGTGAGAGTGATCGTCACTTTCTGTATGTAGTCATTCCAGCGGTACAAATCTTGAGCTACTGCCTTCACTGTTTCGGGCCTCCATTAATTGCACCTAGACATGGGTTGGACAGAAATCAAGTAAAATCAGGCTAAAACCTAGGATTAGTCTATTAAGACGTTACGGTGGTTTGAGCCATTTGAGCAGGGGTAAACATTTTAGGGAAGATCCTAGGGATACAAAGAACATATACTGACCTAACCAGGTTCCCTAATAATCTTCTAGATCAACTGAATCATTTTCATCATTCAGGTAAATCTCTTAACATTAGTGAATCGTGCTTCTCCTCAATGAAATTAGGTCATTAATGTTCATATTATATTTCCTTTCTCTGCGTATATACATGCTTTTCGAAAAGTGATCATTTAGAATAATCCAATTCTGGGCAATATCCCTCTTCTTCATTTTAGCGACGATGATCACTTAATTGACGTAAGTAAGCAGATTCTTAAAACCTTGAAAAGTGAGTAGGAGATCCATATTTTCTGACCCAATTTTACAATTTCATCCGAGTCTCCTGTTGGGTTTATAAATGTCTTCAAACCGATAGAGAATTTTGTTGGTGGGAACAGGTACAATTCACGGAAGCTCTCTAACCAAAAGGTTCTGAAGGCTGAGTTATCCTGGTAGCATAACCATTTGTTTTTTCAATCCTGACAACCTTGTATATATATATGTTAGAGCCTGAGCAACAATCAAACAGAAACTACTGAACACCTTGAGAACAAAAGGATGACAAACTGCCCACAGTCACTACACATATTGAATTCAATAGGGATTTTAAAGATGCGTCCCATTCTAATTTTTATAAGAGCTCTCTAGTGTCCCTCTGAACATCAGTATATGAACCAGTTTGACGAAAAACTGTACAGCATAGAGTACAGATAAAGCAAATGAAAAAGATATCATCATGCAAAGGAAAACTGAGGTATTTCATTTTGCAGAAATGTGTCCCATACCTGGTATGAAGTAAACAAAGAACGAAATTGGATTAGTACCTGAGATCTTTTATAAGAAATAATATTATCTTCGAGCTTCTACTAGAAGGAATCTAACACAAAAGACGATATATATCCTTGAAGTAACGTAGACAGGACTGTTTATGCGTTTCAATACTGAAGACAACTGGTTGTTTGAATGCATCAAAATGATTTCAAATTGACCTTCACAGAATGTCCTAAATTGAATGTTTACTGCAGATGGTTTTATTTTCTGCCTGGTGTTGTCGGCTGGCTGAGACAGGACTCTTAGAAAGTTGTTGTACTATCTAGATAAATAGCGAAATTCAATCTGGAGTTATGATCACGAACTTCAGATAATGAATTGTGAAAGTTTTCTCTATTTTTTGCTTGTTATGTCTTCGTGCAATATTGTAATGAATAAGTTACATTGCCGTCAAAATTCTTGTGACACACCTGCAGTTGAATATGTTGTCCGGGTTGATGGAACTTTTTCTGATGCAAAGGCAATTGCACGTCTTCATGGTTTGGAGTTAATTGATAAAGTATTTTGCTCTTAATTATAATATCATGATTCAGATGATTGGATTTGAAGGAATGTACATAATGCACTTAAAACAAACTGCATCTAAAAAGCGTAGACGACGATCTCCAGTTGATATCAATGGTCCTGGGGTATGGGTGTTTACGAGCTTACACTTTTAGGTCGAATGGGTTATAAAACAAGAATTTCTCAAGCGGACTAAACGTTCTAGTTTACCATCTGCCTCCTGGAATGACCCGTTGTATCCTGATATGTGGTACTTGGTAAGTCGTTGTGTGAATTTTAAGTGATGTATGGTAGATATACACATATAGGCCTTATATCATGATATTCTAACATTTTAGACTACATTTTGAATATTGTACCATTACATTATATCTTAGCTTAGATACTCATCTGTGTCTACTTTTATTAGTACAATCTACTTGTTACCAGTATTTCCCCAGTTCATCCTTTTTTACTGAAGTTAGTGCAATCTGTATGTCATTTTTGCTGGACGTAGATGTCATTACGAACACAGACTTCATTTGCACATCTTTAGGCTCAATTATTTCTACATCATGAATTGTATCATATTTTTGCTGTTATTTTATTGTGTTTACTTTTACTTTAATTCATATCTCTGCTATTCCACAGCAATTTATAAAAGGCTCTTTAAGTGGTGTAAATTGTTTGATAATGCATTTTTTCAGCTTGCAATACTTTTAATCATCATATGGACAAAGTCAAAATGTATTGGTTTACTGTGAAATATAGTCTGTTGTTACATTTATGCATTACTTTATGCAATGGGAAATTTTAAGTTATCAAGTACGGAGATTTTTCTGAAGCTATAACTCGTCATTTTAGAAAGTAGGATTCCGAATTTCACACATTTCATGAGTTTGGTTCGTTTAGTGGAGTTAAGGTAAACAGGCATTACCAGTGACCTTCACATTGTTTGGTTTTCGACTTAGTTCACTAACCTTTATTTCCTCTATCGATGTTTTTATTACTATGACTTGTTTGGAATCAGCCTTAAAATCCAATGAGGAGGGACGTTGCTCATTAATCCTCTCATCCAACTACCATCCAGTAGGTGTTGCTCTTGAATTGCTTCATCTAATTCAGCCTGGGCAACTGAGCACCTCGGTATGGACGGACGGACGGACGGACGGTTATCGACATAGAACTTTGCACATATGTGCGGCAGTTCAAGTCGCCACAATCTATGTAGCACGCAAAGCAAGAGAAGGAAGTAGAAGAAATGCATAATATAGACAGTAAACAGAGGTGTGAGACAAAGGAATAGTAATAACGGAGAACAAAAGTTTAATTGGAAAGCATAAGTCACAAACCTCGGTATCCGCATGCCTCAGCCTGCCAAGTTGGCTTATACCCATAATCACGGGATTACATCGATCCCCTGACTGTAACTAAATTCTTTTAAAATTTAAATTCACTCGTTATTATGTATCCGAGTGTAAGCTACTATTCCAGAATTGGTTTACATAAAAACATTAGAATGTATCATGTTATGATTTAATTACTAATTTATTAGTTTTGGGAGTTAGAAAATCCTTAGTGGTTAACAGAATATCTTCATAGATGCTTCCATTTTTATCATAATCAAGTTGGCGTGTGGTGTACAAATATTACAGACATCCCTTCTTTTACCTCCTTCTTGGAAGTAGGCGTCTAGTCGCAAGAAAGGTAACTGAATTATAAAACTACATTAAGTAAAGAAATTGAATATTTAAGGCTGTCTCCAGATCTGAAATAAATTGATCTATAACATAATCATTTTCTGCTTCAGCTTTCATAGTCTGATTACTGTGCATATATATGTTCTTTGCTATCAAATGTACTTCTTACGCAGTTTTTCTTTTTATGAACTTTCCCCTTCCACTGCTACTGCAAAGCATAACGGTTACAGCCAGTTAGCTAGTGTGAGATGTTTGTTGTATCCTGTACACATCAGATGAAGTGCTTGATAACTGGTCTGTTTCGCATAAAAAATCTTAGGTTTACCGTTTTCGATACGTCTTGAGGAAAAGGCACTAAGTTATAGATACATTTATACGTAGTTTTGGCGTAAATCATGGACATTTTAACTGTTTTATACTTAGTCACTCGTTTTCACTTAGCTTATGGATTTCCACCAACATGTATAACTTGGTAGCTAAACTTGTGATCATTAGGCTATCAGTTAGCATAATGAATTTTTTTCCGCGGTTTCGGTCATGACCTAAATGACTTAATGGTAAGGTGTCTTACTTCAAAGCTCAATGAAAAGTCCTGAGTCTTCTATGAAGGAAAGGTCTTTCCAAGGTTTCCTGATGCACAGTACCCCCTGTCCATGGCGTTTTTTACTGACTGATTCTTATGTCTGGTACTTCTCATATTGATTTTTCAGTTTGTTGGTCCTTTTTTCACCGTAACTTCTTGAAATTGTACATTTTGGTGAGAAATATTTATGTGACTTAAATCAATCATTTATTCGTCAGATCGGTTCAATTTGAACAGTGATTTGTGAGTTGTTTTACTTTTACTCTAAATGAATAGAACAGATATTACTGGATATACCTACTTATTTTTTTCTTACAGAATAGAGCCAGTAAAGGAGAAGGTTACGATATGAATGTATTGGAAGCATGGGAGTTAGGATATACTGGCAAGGGGATTAAGATCACTATCATGGATGACGGAATAGATTATACACATCCTGATCTATTGGCAACTTATGTAAGATTTGTTTTTACTTTGTTTTATTTGCGATTTAAGGTTTATTGGGTGGGAGGGGGCAGCTCTGTTGTTATTTGTTTGTGAAAGTTTACTTAGCCCCTGTCAGTACACAAGCTTTAATACTGTTTCTTTATCTATTCATACCGGCTACCGCTAAGATTTAAAAAGCGTTTTTCATCTGATTGGTATCAAACAGTTTAGGTAAATGATGAATAATCCAAAGGATAACAGTTACTTCGAACTTTACGGACAGTTGAAAGGAAATTAATTTGGTGACTTGCTAGCGGTTGACACATGTCTATTTCCTACAGTGACATAAATCGCTTTAATAGGTCTTTAACGTTTCGATGTATGAAGCTATAGAAAGTATATCAATCGAAATCTTTATTGAGAAATCGGAAAGCCTATTATCATTCTTTTAATTTACAAATCTATATGGGTGAAAAATATATTCATCTGTAACTTACCACTAAGTATGGTTATTATTGTTATTTTTTGCACAGAAAGGACTGAAGATAAACTGAAGGTGAAAACTAAACTGAATATTTAAATGTGACCTGGAAACATCATTGTAGAGTAGACTAGATTTTGATTTGAATATTATAGTTTGATAAAGGAAATGTCTTAAGGATACTTCTGTGATGCTGAAAAAATTTGCGTGAAAAAGATGTGATTTTATCAGGTTTATATTTGTGTTTTTTTTCTATTCCTTTACGTTCCCAGTGGAAAATAGGGCTTCAAGCTATAAGCTTGAAGTTTCTGTGACCGTGGTGTTTATTTATGCGGGATGAGGTTACTAACCTCATGTTCAACCTTCCCTATTTACCAGTCTTATTGCTGGCTTAGTGAGGTAAAGGAGTGTGTCGACCGGGTATTGAACCCCAGGCCACATGAGTGGTCGGCGAGCATTCTACCTATGTACCACCGACGCGTCGGTATATATTTTTAGATAAGACTAACTTGCTACTCTATATTAGTTCATTTATTAGATGTATCACACAGTGAAACAGTATTATTTACTGGATGATGTTTCGAACAAAATTTATTGTTCAGAATCATATCAATTATAATCGTAAGACTTCGAAACGTCATCCAGTATATAATATTGTTTCACTGTGTGATACATCTAATAAACAAACTAATATGTAATTGCTTATTACCACAGTGCCCAAGTTTTACACATATATTAATATAACCTGCTACTCATATTCGTTGTTGTTGACACTAATCAAACTTTAGTCATTATAAAGTTGCAGTAATATCGTCAGATTTACCTCTTCGAATAGACAAATAAAAAAACTTGTGATGCCGCCTAACTTATTCTCGCTATTCGCTAAGTAATTACAGCATAAGCAAATATTGAGTTACAAAGTCGGATTAATGAAACTCTTAACGACACAAGGAACGAAGTTAAGCAAAGATTGGAACCACAAAAAGCTACAGAATACATTTATCCCGCCTTTACAACAAGTAGACAACAACCGTGAATGTATAGATGACAAGGAGACTTTGAATCATACTACCTAACCCCTCTAGTCACCATAGTTTATGAATGGTTAATTGTCACTTTCAGTTACTGTAGTAAGCTACTTACAAGGCTAGATTCAATATGAATTGGTTCGAATTTTCTTGTGGACATTGGTTTTGAAGCTTGTGACGAATTGTGATGTACACAAACAGGCTAAACTTCTGTAAATAAACGCGTAAATTTAAGAAATTATTAACGTATATATAGGCACAAACTATTATTATTACCACTCAGCCGTTACCAGCAAATATTGTCAGTGTAAGTCCTATCATTACTACATACGGTTCCCATAGTGTCAAACTCATTTTCAAACATTTATCAGAATATAATAAAAGAGAAGATAGGGATACAAATCAGGCGGTCAAAGCTTATAGTTTAGCAACAGAAGACAAGGGCCAGGCAACAGATTGTTTATTAAGGGAAATCAACACATCTTTATGGATTTTAATGTACATTATTGTAGATTATTGTTAGTAGAAAATACAGTCTTTAAATTGGTTGTTTCTCATAGCAAGTTAACTTTGCATCTCTTTGTGGCTGTGTCATATCATCCATATGCTAACTGTATCCGCCTACGCAAAGCCTTTGTTCTCATTTTCTTACCACCAGTATTGGGGACATAAACATTGACGTCGATTACTGTCTACCAACTTTGGCTAGCAGCCAGCTGTCACCACAATAGGACTCTATAAATTCAAAACAAAGCAATTAAATAGACGTAATATATTACAATGAAGACATGGTATGCATCAGTTTGAGCCACTATGATCTATGTCGACTCATGTCACCTGATGTCACCAATCATTGATTTTGTTTGCGACATAACTATGAGCCGGATATTTTAAATTCTTTTGGATGACTACTAATGAGCTTTTACTACACATAACTTTGATTTTTTTTCTCCTGTTCAAAAACTGAACCAGAATAGATTACACGTGTATACAAATAATAGAAATTTATGCAGTTTTCAAAATGAACATTATCAGGCTAACTTGCCAATATGGCAGAATGCTCGTCAACCGTGTCTCACGTGACCCAGGGCTTCTGTCCCTGGTCGGCACACTAGAGTAAACTTCGCTTAACAGGTAGTAGTATACCCAGTTAAGAGGGAAGTTTGGGCGCGAGGCTAGCAACTATACTCTCTATAAAGGAAAAATATGACTGCTATTAAAACTTCAAAGCCTACAGTTTGAAGCCCTTTGTTCCACTGGGAACCCCAAAAAGGAATAAAAAACGATTTTATAATATATATCATTCATAAATAGTCTAAAGTATTTCTCTATGATGTAGGCCACAAGTATAAACTAGATGTGTGTGTGTGCGTGCCTGCCTGCGTTATGCAATAGTAAATAGATAAATGAATAAAATGCCTTTTCCTGACAAGTAAATTGAATTGAAATAAGGCAAACAAAGTATTTCGACAGATTGCTTCTTTTTTTTTCATCAAATGCTCTTTCAATCTTTATGGGGTGTTTTGTTTTTGTCAAAAAATAGAAAACAGAAAAGCGTACAAAATCAATAGACTAGACCTGTATATCTAAAATGTGATTTTCCATTAGTAGCAATAATAGTAATAATAGTAGTAGTAGCAGTGGTATACCTACGATGCTTTTTCAATGGTATGAAAACGGTTAGTATGAAACTAGCTCACAGATGCATATATATATATATATATATATATATATATGACAGTAATAGATGGAATGCAGCTAGCAATAATGCAGCAAACTAAAATGCAATTGATATTAACCCCTAGTAATTAGCTATCGAGGTAATTAATCAGAAAAATGGGATAGACGAGATTTACATATATAAAGGACCTACAATCAGACATAGTTGTTTACATGCGAAAATGAGAGAGAGAGAAAATAAACAGGGATAATTTCATCAAGGGGAGACAATCAAAGTCTACTTGTTTGTTTTTGGGAGTCATAAAACAGGAAAAATAAGGACAACGTTTTTGTAACTTTTCTGTAAAGAGAGATATCAAACCTGGGGATTAATTTGATGCTCACTAGCGACTCGCTCTATTACAGGAAGTAGTAACCAACTCTAGTAAGAGAACAGTGAATCACCAATGATATTGGCTGGTGGTTGCGCTGTATACGCATATCGTGAATTGGTAGAAGTTGGAATACATCGGCCACACTGGATCGGATCCCAGTGGTTGAGTGAATGGTCTACAAGTTCACCTTGTAACTGGAAGCTCTTGGGTTCGAACCTTAGGGAATGCATACTGATGAAGAGTCACAAGTGATGAAGAAACAACTGTCCAGTACTCTCTGGTTTTCTGATGGTTCTCTAACTACTGTTGACTCCATGATCAAATCTGTAACCAATGGAATCTTTGCAAATCAACACTTGAAAAGAAAGAATAGAGGGAATCCAGCTAATCCTACAGTTTATGGTAGTATGAATAAAGAAGTAGACCTCTAACTATCGTGGTACATTTTTTCACCTACAGTGACCAGTGCATTCAAACTAAGACTTGATGTGAATTCATCAAGGCATCGACTATTAGTCTATGTTATGTAGGAAATGTACACTTTTCCAGCTGAAGTTTTAGAGATAAAGTGATATTTGTAGATGGAGGTTATGTGTTGTTCTTAAGTATTTATAGCATTATTTTGTTCAACTAATAATGTTTACTAGCTGACTGAGTTTTCAACGTAGAAATTTGTACAGTTATGCAACCGTTGAAGTTGTGAATATTATTACGAAAATACTGAGCAATCAAACGTACACCCTACTTTAATGGCTTTAGCTAGTTATAGTAGTTTAGCTTGATATCCTTGATTTCCCATGTATTTAATGTCCAGTCTAGGTGACATTATATGTTGTAATAATAGGAGGAGAGCAGATAAGTAAATGGAACATATATTACTCAGGTTCAACTCAATGAGGCTTCCTAACCTCTTTGTATCCGTTTTCGTTTCTCTGTTGGAACACTCAGATTTTCTCCTCACTTAATACTTTTCACTCTAATCATTGTTGACGCGTGGGTGGTTCAGCGATAGCATGTTTGCCAACCACTACGCCTGTGATCCAGGGTTCGATCCCCGGTCGACACACTGTTAAACTTCGCTTAACTGGGAATAAGCCCAGTAGTGAGAAAAGGTTGGGTGTGAGGCTGGTAACGCCAACCACCACTGTGCAAACGAAACTTCAAAGATGTGTGCTTGAAGCCGTATCCCTCACTCAGGATGCAAAGGAGTAAAATAAAAATAAAATGTAGTCATAGTGTTATAATACTGTGGAGAGAAAATCACTAGACTTAATTGAATTTTAGATTTTCCCGTCGATTGATTGGACCGAAGTGCTCGGTCTCAGGTTAACATGTCGGCTTCTTGAGCAGACGCTTCGACGATGTCTGGGCATTTAATTAGTATTTAATTGGTGAATGGTGACTAGCAGTGGAATCCAGCCAGGATGCTCATTTTGTCCTATTTGGGACTCGTCGGCTGGATGTACCTGCATTTGAAACTATGGGCACAGGGTTCGAGCCTCGGTGGGAAAATCATCGCTCACTGAGAAATGCAGGTACACCCAGATGACGAGTCTCAGATAGGACGAAATGCGCATCCTGGATTCCACTGGTAGTCACCATCCACCAATTAAATCACTAGACTATTTAACTAATCTACTTAGTTGCCTGTTTCTCGAATCAGTTGACTATAACAACTCATTACATACAACCGGTTCCCTGTATTAGTTAGAACAAAGAGAGAGAACGAACGTATTTACAGTTTCATATAGTTTCACCACTAATAAAGATATTCTGAATTTCCTTCCAATATGAATTCACCATTTGCAGTTGTAAGTCTTGCATGAAGTTAATAAACTTTATACGACACACCAAATTGAAACTTTCCAGTAGACTATCGAATCTAACTAGATTTGACCTCAAGGTGGTGATATAAACAAAGGAAGAACGAGCATATTTTCAACATATACCAACTCAGTAAACAAATTCTCGTGTTGATGGGAAAATATCCATACTCTTTGAGGGGAAGTAATTGTATTCTGTCTGTCTCAGGAAGGCTTCGTGTGCTTTTGGAAGTGTGTGGGCAGTTGTTACTTCTCGGCTGCCCACACCGTGGAATTTGATTGATTCTTCGGGTACCTGGAACAGAAAGAGGGTTAGTCTTGCGTGACTGTAGAGCCCAGGGGACAACTGCTTGAGGCCGGTCACACACGACCTGTATAAACTGTTTTCTGGAATTGGTTCCGTATTAGTAAACTTACCGCCGGTTACGGACCACCATAGGGTAAGTCGGGATATACAATTTTTGGGGTCGACCTTTTCTAACCCTCTCTCTCCAGAGTGGAGAGACAGCATGGCTTGCTGGTATGCTGGTCATCTGAGGGAAACACCTTACACTCCTGTTCCCCAGCAGTACGATTTCACCCTCAGTATAGTGTAGGAAAGATTCTTACACAATGCCGGTAACTGCTTTTAGTCTAATCGCTATCCTAACAACCTTCCTGGCATGGTAGGACCTGCAGGAACATTGGTTCCAGCCAGTGTAGCTTGTTGGGTCATCGCGATGTGCAAGCCCAACCACCACGTCAAGGTAGCAGCTATCGATCGGGAAGTAATTGTATTCCGATGACTGAGTTAAGCACTTTGAAATCTTCATTGGATTATTCAGTTACCTAGTGAAAATGCAATTTTGCACTATTAAATAATAACGTAATCATTAAATAAAGGCTAGTCAAGTTGTACAAAATATTTTTGAGGAGGTATCCGATTCATCAAATAATCACTGATAGTAACAGTATTTCAATAATGTGCTGTTAATGTTTCATTGAGCTATAAAGACTTTTAACTAACAGACTGGTTATATCTGTTCAGTTATTTCATTTCTTTTGTATATCCCTTCCTATATTATGTTATTCAGCGGATGGGCATAGGATGCCCATTTCATTCTATCCGGGACTCATCTTAGACTGCACTGCCAGTCACGATCCATCAAATAACATTGTACTAATCTTTTGATTGGACACTAGTAACTAGTGCGATGTGTCTAGTCCGTTGTTTGGTGCAGACTGAATTCTATCAGTCAGGTTTGCAATGTGGTCACCATTCTAGGTGTCTTACTATCACGGTGAACTGTGAATTGTTGATATTAGATGGTTAGAGGCAATCGACAGGAGCCCTAATAGCTCAGCTGTACCGTCTCTAACTGCATTACTGCACTAGGTGATCCGGGTCCGAATCTCAGAAGGGACATGAGTTCCTTCAGGGTTGCAAATACGCCTTACTGACTGGTAAGTGCGAAAACTAGTTCAGGCAAAGCTTCTTGTCGATTGTTTCCAACCATCTAATATTATATTAAACCTCAGACATTGTCCAAACTTCCAAACTAGGAGTTGACACGCATGTCAACACATAGACGGCACACTTCGGAAATTTTAAAATTAACCTAAAAATAAATATAATTCTTTCTATATTTCTTACAGGATCCTAAGGCCAGTACAGATATTAACGGTCGAGATAACGATCCAATGCCGGATATACGAAGTCGTGATAACAAGTAAGCACATATTTTTATAGCATTTCAATTGTCTTTTTCTCTCGCTTAAAATAAAAATTATTCTTTATCTTATCGTCTATCAAAATGATTTCGCTTCAGGCTCTTCTACAGACTTACAGTCATAGTCTCTCTATAATAAAAAGTTAGAATCTATAGGCTATTGAGTTTTGTATCACTGGCTGGATGATCAACAGACTGACCTCCGTAATCTAAAGGTGTTGGTTTCTATCCCTGATGGGATCATAAGTGCGTACTGATGAAGAGTCCTAAATAAGAACGAAATGGCTGTCCAGTAATTTCTGCTTTTCAGTAGTTCCCTATCTGATATCAAGCAGTTCATGATCTAACTTGTAACCATCATAGGATATTGATAGGATTATAAATGAAATGAATAGTAAGTAAAATCAGTTGTTGTCGAACTAATATCAATAAAAATTTGAGACAAGGATGAATACAGATTATAAAGCTCTGAATTATACTCAGTGGAATGAGTCAAGAAAGTAGATTAAATATTTACTGTTTTCAATATTCCTTATCCCTTAAAACCTTCATAGAATACAAGCAAGATATAAGCACGTTCAGTCTTACAAGTGGCATTTTAATGTATTCACAATATTTTTGCAGCTTATAAATTTAATATCCTCTATTTTTAATTCCTTGCGGTCCGAGTAGAGCATAGGGATTCAAGCCTTTGAAGTTTCAGTTAGCAGCGGTGCTGTTTTCTTTCCTATAGGTTGGGGCTGCTCACCTCACACCCTAACGTCTTCCATCTTTTCCAGGCTTACTGACGGCTAGATGACGTTTTTAGAAGTGCGTCAGCCAGGAACCGAATTCAGACCTCTCATATGGTTGGTGAGCATTTAGTATCCTATTTGGAGATGATGTTTTGACGGTAGAACTGTCGATTGGTTTGGTTGATATCATTTCCAATGTGACTTTAGAAAAAGTCGTTGGATTAGATTTCTCTTCAATAATCATTGTGTATCATTCTGTCTTGAAGTTGATTGGTTGTTAAGGCTCCGATTTGATTGGCTAGCAATAATTATCTCTCTTTGAGAAATATTGTTAAACAAATACCTTTTTGAGCTGTCTGACTTTGATATATATATGTGCAGTTATTATTATTATTTTTATCATAATGTTTGAGGATGGTCATCAGTATTTATTGAAAACTAGTCCGATACAGGTGCGTCAGTAGTTCAATGGTAGAATACTCCCCAACTGTGTGGGCGACTCGGGTTCGATTTCCATCCGACTCACGCATAAATCTTCGGCAAAGAGGAGAGCTTCAGCATGAAGCTAAGAAACGTATCCCATGAAAACAATACCACTGCTACTGAAACTCCAAAACTTAAAGCTTGACGGTAAAAGAAGAGAAAAGTCAGGTACAGATCTTATTAATCAACGAACACCATCTAGATTACAGCTTATATGTAGTATCAATAACTCTTAATGCAAGAAGAAGTTTAATTTGTAGATTAATATTCAAAAATAATGGAGATTTGGTTCATCGGCTTAAAAACTTGATTTCCAGCCGATGAATTACTTGGTTTGATTCCCGTTCCACCTATTTCAACGTGAGCAACTGAGTAATATCATCAGCTCTCGCATACAATAAGTGTAGCTCTCAGCCTGGTTAACAGAGAATCTCTTCGGGGTAATTTAGCTTATATAAACAAACAAACGATGCTCAAAGCTGAACACTCTTCTATATTGGTTTGTTTATTTGATATATCACACAGTGAAACAGTATTATTTACTGGATGACGTTTCGAACAAAATTTATTGTTCATAATCATATCAACACATATCAACACTCTTCCTTAGTCTCATTCTGCTCATTATATCTATCCTTCTAATATCCCCTTCTTTTATTCCTTTCCATTCTGTATGGAACATAAGGCTTCAAGCTTGAACTTTGAAGTTTCATTAGCACTGGTGTTCATTTTACAGGATGGGGTTCATAGCTTGACGCCTAACCGGATAAGCGAGGTTTACGAGTGAGTTGGCTGGGGATCGATCCCTGGGCCACGTAGGGGTGGTGGTGGTGGTGGTGGTTAGCGAGTACTCCACCACTGAACCACCCACACTCCCTAACAGTATCTTCTATCGGCTATCATATAATAATTCTGAGACTTTATTGACTGAGACAAGAGAAAAAAATAAAGGCTAGAAAGAAAAGCTGAAAAGGTACAGTATAGAAAGTCACTAGTCTTATCGTCATTCCACTATGAAATAAGTTAACCATATAGTAGTGATAATAATAATAATAGTAGTATACGTGTAGCATAACTAACTGAGTTGTGTTTATTTTATATTGTTTACTTGTATTCTACAATCGGCGTTTCTTTTTTTTTCACTCATTCTTTCTTTTATAATATTAATATGCCGGTAAATGATATTTCAAAACTGTACAACATAAAACGGTCATTAGTAGTGGTACACTCACGCACACTAGTTAGTAGAGACAATAAAGACGCGTGGACAAACCAGTAAATGTATATATATATATGCATAACTCAGTCCCCGAATACATATCAAATATAAATACGAAACAGACAACATTGCACGAATGCGTAATATTCTAAAACTAAATAAAAATATTTTGATATTTTAGTTTTTATGAATTTACCGGGTCTCCTTTTCTCTCTGTCTCTCTCGCTCTCTCTATTCTTTTCCGTTTTTCTGCTCTATAGGAGGCTGTTTACTATTATTATTATTTGACTCAGAAGAAATAAACTTTTGTAGGTATGTCTGTGATTATCTCAGAAATTGTGTGCCAATGTGTTAGTTAGTTAGTTAGTGTGCAGGCTTTTATCACACCCATCGTTTTTCCATCTGTCTCCCTGTCTGTCTGCCCATCTATCAAAGTGTGTCTATCTATCACTCTGTATGTTAGTGTCTATTGTTAGTATTTGATATTGTTGTCTTTTACGGCATAAAAGTTGTGTTGGATAACCTTGCCTTTTATTTAATAAGTGAATGAATGGTGTGGTGAAAAAAATCGATTCATAAAGAAAAAAAATTTTCTCTGCTTTGTATTCTAGTCACATAGAAAACACACTGAGAGAGGTGTATTTATCTACTACACAGTTCGCCAATTCAACTTGTCACATTGAGATAATATCTAAAACTAGTATCAAAATTCGAGGAGTGGGACTAAACTTATGAAGATGAAAGATATAATGGGAACCTAAAACTTCTTTCTAATATTTGGAACAAGACACACATATGTACTGACAGCAGTGATTGTGGATTTTATCTCATATAAGTTAGGTGTATCGATTTTTCAGTTATTACTTAGACCCAACCTGGAAGTCTCGGTTTCGATCCCTGATTGGATCGTGTGTGTGTGTGTGTGTGTGCACTGATGAAGAGTGCCAAACTAGGTAGGAACAGCTGGCCAGTGCTCTCTGGTTTTCAATCATCTATCAGACTGATGACCGACTCTGGGCAAGCTTCAGCTCCTTATGATAATATGGTTATCCTAAAACCCTCTAAGCTTAGAATTCCGTATTGTGCGACAGTCATTTACTAACTCAGTCCTACAAAGGACGAGTGAGGCGGCTTTCTAGTTAGAAGACCAGATGAATTGTTTAAGAAGAAAAGCTACATAACAGAATTACCGTTTCTATCTTCACCTAAACTGGTTTTAGGCGAACTTAAACTTTAGACACCCTACAGGCGCAAATACACCAACGATCTTGGAACACTAAGCCAAAGCAAAGCCATGAAACCAGGTAAATAAGACTATATTCATGAAGAAAAGTCTTGATTAAAGTGTAATGTGAAAGTTAAATGAAGCCGTTGGTTCCTATGACCCTTGCAAAATCGATGATACTGATATAGAAATCAAGTCTGAAGTTAAGTATCTTGGATTAATTCTTTCTTCTGACCTATCCTAATCTTCCCATGTCTTAGCGATTTCTAAAAAAATATTTCGTCTGACTTTTTACATTAAGAAGTTAAGGCACTCAGGCATAACCCAACACCTCCTCTTACAGTATGTCAACTCGTGCATCCTACCTATTCTTCTTTACTGTTCACCTTCGCTTATTCTTTCCTGGATTGCTTAAAATAGATTATGTCATACTTCGTAGAACTCTGAAGACTGTCACTATGGCCACTGGTATCCCATTGGGCCATATCGTTGACATTGTCACTGATAGGCACTTGATGTCATGCAACAAATTCGCTAAAGGAATTTTGTCAGACTCTGAGAACCCACTCTACCCGCAGCTCCAACCTTGTGTCTCCTCAGGTAAAACAAGAAGTCTTTTCAGAAGACTTTATGCATGTACGTCTAAGTATAAAAGTAATTTCACTATACCATATTTGGCCGGTCGGTCGGTCGGCTTTCGACATAGAACTTTGCACATATGTGCGGCAGTTCAAGTCGCCACACTCCCTCCTTGTAGCACACAAAGCAAGAGAAGAAAGTGGAAGAACTGCATAATAGAGACAGTAAGTTGAGGTGTGAGACAAAGGAATAGTAATAACGAAGAACAAAACAGTTTAATTGGAAATCATAAGTCACAAGGAGTGGATGCTTCTACGCTACTGAGAACGATTTTGAGCCATGTCACCAATTGTTTCCAACCATTGGTTTTTACCGTCCCGAGGACCCCAACCATTCAGGAACTTTACACCTTCCTACGTGGCTTAGACTAACTGTTGTAGATTTCATTGACTGGTGACCGCCTCTAGCTCTTTTCCAGCCTGACCCTATATCAGCTAAGATTGCCCATCGGTTGAGGAAGGCGATGACTAGGCATACGTAATACATGTCCTAACCATCTCAGTCGATTTAATTTCACAGTCTCGTCGACTGATTTCCCCTCCTTACCTAGCACTTGACCGAAGCCTAACCTTAATATTGCTCACCTTATCATACCACTTAAAATGAGAGATAGAACGCAGACACCTATGATCGAAGACAGCTAATCTTTTCATGTCTTCTGCTCTCAATGGCCAGGTCTCACGGCCATAAAGGAGGACGGAGCGGACTGTTGAGCAGTACACACGCCCTTTGGTCGATAGTCGGATATCACGTCTACGCCAGAGACGGCGTAAACTGGCATATGCGAACCTAGTCCTCTGTATTCGTGCTGAGATTTCGTCGGAGATCAACCCGTTAGGGTTGATGGTACTTCCCAAGTAAGTGAAGTGGTCAACGTGCTCTACCACTTCACTTCCTATTTTTAATCTAGGGGTCGGTGAAGTCCAATCCTGCAGCATCATCTTACATTTTACAGGGGCGAATCGCATGCCAAACATACGAAGATTGTTGCTCAGGGTGTTCAGAAGACACTGCATTTTGTCAGAGTCCTCGCCTAGAAGGACTATATCGTCCGCATATTCTAAGTCGACGAGATTATTCCCTGGTAGCAAGTCAATCCCTGAGTCGCTGAAGTGTGTTAGAGTTAAGTCCATTAATACGTCTATGATGAAGTTCAATAAGAATGGGGATAATGGGCATCCTTGACGGACGCCACTAGTCGTCACCACTTCAGATGACAACTCGCCGTAAGCCCTCACCTGGCTGCATGAGTACGAGTAGAGTGCCTTAATCAGTGCAATGTATTTTCTTGGCATTCCGTTTACAGCCAAGCATCGCCAGAGAACCTCCCGGTCGACAGAATCGAATGGCGCCTTTAGGTCAAGAAATATAATGATTGTCGGACGCCGGTAGGAATGCCTATGTTCTAGAATCTGTCGAAGGGTGAAGATATGATCAATACACCCTCTACCTGGCCTAAAACCTGCCTGGTTTTCTCGTGTTTGTGTCTCCCGAGCACCACTTAGTCTCCGCAGTATTATTGAGCCTGGGATTTTAGATACTATATTAGTCAAGCTAATCCCTCTGTGATTATCACAAGAAGACTTGTCTCCCTTCTTGTATATCGGGATGATCAGTGACTTACACCAACCCGATGGGACTTCCTCTGATTCCCAGACGCTGCCTAGAACCTCAGTTAACGCAGACAGTAAACTGTCTCCACCGTACTTAAATACCTCTGGAGTCAATCCATCAGGTCCCGCATCTTTGAAACGTACTTTATGTGATGAAAATAGTGTTAGGTATGAACTAACTAACCTTCTTAGCACCACTAAATGAACCATTTCCTTCACCCTTAAAGCATCAAACTTTATTGTTACTGTACTTCTTATATTTATAATCCTCTCAATTTTTTGTTTTGTTTATTATTTTTTTCATAAGTGTGAACATCATTTAAGCTGTGTTATGACTGTAAATTTCGCCTTTCCCGTCACCATACTATATCAACAGAACATTAGATCCAATAATGTATAACATGCTAAAGTTTCCATACTGAATCAACAATAACGTTTGAAACAAACTCACTGTTATTATTATTATATTTAATAATCTCAATTCGTGCTTCGAATATTTTTAACTTTATGTCGTAAATGTGGACAAATTCCTCTGGTTAATTTTGTTTTAATTTTTAATTTTATTTATATTTTGAGTAAATCAGATGCAATATTGTGACAAATAATAAGAATTCCATTGTGTATTATAAGTACTGTTTTTGGAATAAAGTATATTATTATTATAATTATTAAATAGGATATCTGGTTGTTTTAATGTTAGGTTTAGGGGAAAGATTAAGGTTAGGTTTGGGTTATGGATAAGTTAGGGTTAGGTTAAGAAAAGATTAGGGTTAGCGGACCGAATTCGCTTATTAACCCAGTTCATCGCGTCCATGTCTAAAGTTGGTTTTATTCAATTGTGATAGACAACATCAGTGATGTGTTAGGTAGTGTAACAGTGTGTCAGCAATGCTAAACAGGTATCATCCAAGTTCTTATTCACAGTCATTGTGTTCATTGGTATCACAACTGCTTTTTGATTGCTCCTCTACAGAGCTATGAATATGTATATATATATATATATATATATATATATATATATTGGAGAATAGTATTGACACGTCATAGATAGTGTACAAATATGTATGGATTATAAAGGTTTGTCATCTATCATTACTGAATATAAAGAATGATATCTGATGACGCGGTGTGATGTGATCTCAATAATCGTCTTTAGTTCCAATGGAAAAGTAATTTTATTCAACAATATTATGAAGAAACCTTTTAATTTACAACATTTCAGTAACTATTAGTATTCAATGAGCATTGACTGATATGATGATGATATTTGATGTCAACGATGTGTGTGTCGGTGGCACAGTGGTTAGGACGCTCGCCGACCATGCACATGGTCGGGGGATCGATCCCCTGCCGACGCACACCTGATATCTATGGTCGGCCTGCAAAATTTGGGCTACCGATATCACATGCTGAAAATTCCATACTTGTACCAAAAATTCGGTGTGGAATCAAGCTGTAATAAAAAAAACGCAAAATCTATTTATCAATATTGTTAATAGCTTGTTCATGCTTTCACTTTTTTCATTTCAAATGTTGACTGTGTAACTCTATTTTGGGTCTGTGGTTCAGTGGTTGAATGTTCACCAGCCACGCCTCACTTGATCCAGGATCCCATTCCCTGGTGACTCAATCCTAAAACCTCGCTAACTAAGCCGATATTAAGCCCGGTAAAGAGGAAAGTTTGGATGTGAGGCTAGCCACCGCACCTTCTACTGTTACTGAAACTTCGAAGCTCATACTTAAAGACTTATGTTCCACTTGGAACGCAAAAGAATGGAAGAAGAAAAAGAAGTTTAACTCTTGATTGAACACTAGTAACTAGTGTGACGTGTCTAGTCCTTTCTTCGGTACAGACTGAATTCTATCAGTCAGGTTTGCAATGTGGTCACCATTCTAAGTGGCCATATCGCGAGGCCGAATAGCTCAGTGGTCTCTGACTGCAGGACTGCACTTTGTGACGCGGGTTCGAATCTCAGAAGGGACATGAGTTCCTTCAAGGTAGTTGCAGATACACCTTGCTGACTAGCACGAAACCTAGGTCATGCAAGGCTTCCTGCCGATTACCTCCAACTATCTAATATCATCAAATCGAAATTTATCTCTATTGATTTACTCAATGTGTAGTGTATTACAAACTAGAAAAGAATGTTATGTTCCTTCTACTACTTTCTAAATGTTGAGGCTTTTTTAGATAAGAATGAAATTATTCTAAATCTGTACAAAACCCTAAATCTAAATAACCAGCTCACTGGCGACTAGTGTATGGATGTCTTGAAGTTGTAATGAGAAGTAGTAGCCAATGGGGTCCATCATGTCAGTGTGAAGCGGATACCTATCGACGACATTCTTTGATGGTGGTGGTAGGGCGATTTCACGATTTTACAAAATTTGGATCCATGGGTCATTGAATCCTAGCCCAACTGGCTGAATGGTTATCAACCAGCTTAACCTCACAACCTCTGAAGCTCGCGGATACGATCCCTTGTATGGTGGTCGTGGATAATCACTATTGAAGAATCTCAAACTAAGACGAAACAGCTGTCTAGTGCTCCTTACAGTGATGTCTCTAATTGATGTTAGTTCATGACGAAACCTAACAATTAGAACTAGATCAAATCCCTACAAAACCCATAATCGAGAGATGTTCAAAAGAGTTTTCATCATATTTTAACTATCTCTACTGCTTTCATCACATTGTTAGCATTCCCTACAAGTATTGTCTAAAGAATATGGAAATTTGACATGTATGTGTGAGTGTGTGTGTGTTAAGTGTAATGTATGCCAGTGTGAATATTAATGAGATTCTGTATTCATCTTTTTAATGTGAAGGTTAAATTATGTCATCAAGTACTGTTGTTTTCTAAGTTTTAATGAACTGGTTGGTCAACAAAACGTACACAGATGACTGACTGGTTTATACTATGAAGCTGTGAAATAAAGGATAGGTGTCTGTGTGTGTATGCGTGTGCGTGTGTGCATGCATATGTGTCTGTTGTTCGGTTGTCATTTATGAATCCTTCTAAAGCATAAAAAATCTGAATTTTAATCACCTGAATGACGACTAAATTGCAACCAGAATTAAAAATTATTATTATTATTGTATCCTTTAATTCCTAGAGGAACATAGGGCTTCAGCCGTGCGTCTCCATTGCGTTCGGTTCTCCGCTAGCGTCTTCACCTGGCTCCAAGTTTGCCCACACGTTTTCATCTCCTCTTCACATGACCTCCTCCAAGTCACCCTTGCACTGACGACCAACTCGCCACTTCCCTTTCGGGTTCCACTGGAGCAATGGCTTGTCTAGTGATGTCACTTGATGGTTTCCTCAGAGTATGGCCAGCCAATCCATCTCCATTTCTTCCTGCCTAATTGTTTCACAATCGGTTCCTGCTGGGTTGGTTCGTTCCCAAAGATCCCTGTTGCTGATCTTTTCTGGCCGGCCATCTGATCTTGAGTATTGAGCGAAGACAACTGTTAATGAAGGTCTGTAGTTTGTTTGAGGTGCTCTTTATGATGCACAGTGCAAGTCTCTGATCCGTATAGTAGCACTGACTGATTTCACATTGGAGTTGAAAATCCGGATCTTATTTTTGATGCTGAGTGCTGTTGACCTCCACACAGACTTGAGAGTAGTGACAGCTTGTCTTGCTTTTCCGATCCTTGCTTTGATATCCTGAATTAAAAATATCCTTGAATTAAAAATAATAATAATATTTTCGTAGATATTTATTTCTTTTTTTTGTCCGCGTAAACAAACACTGACGACGTCATTTTGTAGTCATTTCAATTTTTATAGACATAAAGAGTTTACACCCTATTTTAAAACAAGAAAAACAAAACAAAGTGTTGGTTGTAGTATGATGATCTGTGTTTTGAAATTATTAATGTTTCTTCTTCTTATGTATTTATTTTATAGACATGGTACCAGATGTGCCGGACAAATTGCTGCTCAGGGTAATAATTCGGTGTGTGTTGTCGGCATTGCTTATAATGCACAAATCGGCGGTAAGTGTGTCTACACGCGCGTGTCTATTTCTGTGTGAATTTGTTATATTATCTAGTTTTTGTTATGACAATTCCTTTTTATTTAACACGTAACACTTACACTTAAATTGAACCAATAACTGCAAAGCGGTTGTTTTTTTGATTATCAAAAATATTACAAAACTACTTTTTAAAATTTTTATTTTTCAAAAATATACCGAAAATTCGGTATTTCAAAAAAAAAAAAAAACAACTAGACAGTGATTCTTAGAATCGCCCAGGCTACTTACTACTTTTAATAAATGGTCCAGGTTATCGATTTTGTGCATCTGTGGTTCAACACTGGATAACTCTATGCTGGAGGTCTAGGTTCGATTCCTGGCTGACGCACTGTTTAACTTCGCCCTAGTTTACTAGTCAACAATGAGGCTGGAAAAGGGGTTATGTTGGGCGTGAAGATAACAACCTCACCTGGTAGAAATAACAACACTGCTACCGAAACTCTGAAGCTTAAAATTGAAGCGATGTGTTCCACTGGGAACTCATTTACATGTGACATTCTGTCTGTCTGGATCAACATAGAACTTGGCACCGAAGTGCAGAAGTTCCAGTTGCCACGTTCCAAATACCACACAAAGGTAGACAAGAAAATGAGCGATGAAGAGAATCAATAGAGTTTCGACAAGTATAAGAGTGAAACAGAATGAGTAATGGTAGAAAGGAATATGAAAGATTACAGAGACTGAATACATCTGCGTAAGCCATTGACAACGATTTTGAGCCATGTCACCTATTGTCTCCAGCCAATGATTCTTAGAGTCCCGAGGGCCCCAACCCAGAAGTCTGCATCTCCCTACCTGACTCAGTTTAACTGTCAAGGATTTCATGGATTGATTAATGCCATGTTTTTGTTTGGCCACCCCTTACTCTTTTCCAACTTGCACCTATATCAGCTAGTAATGCCCGTCCGTCGGCGGAGGCGATGGTTAGGCATGCACAGCACTTGACCTGGCCATCTCAATCTATGTAACTTTATAGCCTCTTCGATTGATTTTCCCTCTTTGCCCAACACTCTACGCCTAACGTCAACATTACTTACCTTATTATGACACCTAACGTGAGAAAGAGATCGTAAACATCTATGATCAAAAACAGACAACCTTTTCATATCTACAACTCGTATTGGCCAATTTACATGTGACATTATCTTCATATAGCTGTACTATTTTAGACTATCCACAAAAACAACTTCTATATGTATTGGGTGTGTGAGGACATATATTCACTGATGACATTAAATAGTGTTCTCGCTATACATATTTCACAAAATGGCAGAATTTACAATTCATGGACTATTGGATTCCGTTTCAGTGGTTGATGAATAGTGTCAATGGGCTCATCTTTTGACCTGGAAGTTTCGGTTTCGATCCTTAGCGGCGAGGGGTCATGGGTGTGTACGTTTGAAAAGTCCCAAACATGGAGGAAACAGCTGACCAGTACTCCCTGATTTTCTAGGGGTTCTCTAACTTAATTTCAGCTCGTAATACAACTTGAAATGAATCAATTCCCTGCAAATCTGCACTTGAAAGTTTCACCATCAATGAACAACCTGCTTCTCGCCTTCTTCTAATTCAGTATATGATTAGGATTGACAGGAGAAGAACTAGCTGTGCAATTAAATGGGATGATAAACGCACAGTAATGTATCATTCAAGTTCGTTGTTGGCTCATTAGTAGAATGCTTGCCAACCACCCATGCGGTCCGGGGTTCGATTCCAGGCTACCGACTCACTCCTAAACCTTACTTACCTGATAATCAGCTCGGTAAAGAGGTAACGTTGGGTCAGCAACCTCACAACGTACAAATAATACCACTACTACTGAAACTTTAAAGCTTGAAGCCCTGTACTCCACTTGAAACTCAAAGGAATGGATAAAAGTACATCGTTCACTCACATGATTACTCGACATTTCTCACGGTGGAATAATGACCCAGTTAACAGTTGGATCGTAAACCTTATGTGATAAAATGCCGAACTAGTAGTTTGAGGGAAAGGGGAAGTCATTTAAAATTAAATTATCACTCAACGCTGTATCCATAACAATCTACTAACCCAAGCCTATGTCAGATAGTTTCAGGAGATCTTCGTGTGGTTTTGAAGGTGTATGGATGGTTGTTACTTCCCGGCTGCCCATACCGTGGAAGTTAATTTTTCCTTGGGGCACCTGAAACAAAAAGAGAATTAGTGCTGTATGACTGTAGACTCCAGGGAACAGTTGCTTGAGACAGATCACTCCACATGGCCTGTGTGAATTGTTTTTTTGAGAGTAGTTTCCGTACTAAGAACTTACCGTCGCCTACGAACCACCTTAAGGGAGGTCGGGATGTACAATTTCGGGACCGACCTTTTCTAATATATCCTGCTCCCCAGATTGGAAAGACAGCATAGCTCTCATTCTGGTCATCTGAAGGAAACACCTTACTGCTGTTACATCCCTTTTTCCCAGCAGTACGACTTTGCCCATAGACCTCCAGAATAGTGTAAACATCTTACACTATACTGGTTAGGTGTCAAGTGTTAGGTAAAGAGGGGAAATTAGTCGACGAGGTTGTGAAGTTACATCGAATGAGATGGTTAGGAAATGAGTTACGCATTCCTAGCCATCACCTTCCTCGACCAACGGGCAATATTAGCTGACATAGGATCGATCAGGTTGGAAAAGAGCTTATGTGGTGGTCAAACCAAAACTTGGTCTCAGTCTTTAACAGTTAGTTAGAGCTACATAGGAAGGTGTGCGTCGGTGGTACAGCGGTTAGGCCGCTCGCCGACCATGCATATAGTCCGGGGTTCGATCCCCGACCACAGACGCACTCCTTTACCTCGCTAAGCCAAAAATAAAGCTGGTAAAGAGGAAAGGTTGGGCATGAGGCTAGCAACCTCTTCCTGTAAAAATAAACACTGCTACAGAAACTACAAGCTGGCTCTAGCTTGAAGTCCTATGTTTCACTGGGAACGTGAAGGATTAAAAAAACAACATAGGAAGGTGTAAAATTCCTCAAAATGATAATAACCAATGACTGGAGAAATTAAGTGATATGGTTCAAAATCGTTGTAGACGGTGTTGATGCATTCACTCTCTCTGATCTGGCATATCCGAAAATCCTGTCTTCTTCTTCTTCTATGTGAGTATTCTTTCTTCCTCACCTTTCTGCTTATCGTCGTTCTTCTGTATACCTTTTTTTCTGTAGTCTTCTTTTGTGCGGTAAATGGAGTGTGGCAACTCCAACTGCTACACTTCTGTGCAAAGTTCTATGTTGAAACCAGTCAGTCAGTCAGTCAGTTAGAGAGTCTTAGCATCAATTGAAACTGCAATTGTCTGTATATTTTTATATCTTCTTCAGCTGACGTTATGAATTTTATACGGTATCTTTTTAAAATCAATCTATGTCTTTATATCCTTTCTAATATTACCTGAAATTCATTTCTAATCCGGTAAATTATTTATCTATATCGGTATTATGTAACACCTAGAGCTTTTTGAGGCTTTTTTTTATTTTTTCCAAAATTCTGGCTTTAATGCTCCTTGTTATTAGTGGTAAAAAAAATGTGCGTATATATGTGAAGAAAAATGACTGGGAGACTGTCGATTAGATGCCTGTTTTATTTTTTCTCGCTCTTCTTCTATTTCACTGTGAAGCTGTCTGTTGGTGTTCTCTTTTTTCTTTGACCAACCTACACACACTCACACACACATGGGCGCCAGACTAGTTGATATCACTGATATATAAATATATATATATATATATGCAGTTTTGACATATGCTTGCATGTAACAATCACCTTTACATTTAATGCCTAACCTCCTAGGCTAGGCTAGGCTAGCCTAGCCTAGCATAAACACAAATTGTCTATAAAGGATGAAAGAAATAAGATTCATTAGAAATAAAAAAAGGATAATTTATGCCAATAATCAGTAATTGTTTGATGAGGATAAATTCAATTCAATAGGTGATGATGATGATGATGGTTAGTGGTTCCTGTTATTTTGGATAAATAAATCAGCAATTTGCACACAGAAATGGATTGATTTATGTTGACACCTTTTAATGAATGGTGCATTGAGTGCGGGAGAGAGACAAAGAAAGCGAAAAGGATTGACGAAAAAACTTTCCTAAAAGACAGATAAAACGCAAAAAAGGAAAGCCTCGTATGTATATACATACTTACTCGTGATATTGTTGTATAACAAATAAGTGTAGTAGTGTATAATGGGCTGCTGAAGATTAATATGACCAGAGTTTAGGAAGAAAACAAAAAAACAGCTATTAAATCTATTCCATAGATTTCCACCACCCAGAAGGCCTTTTATACAGGTGGTTTATTCCCTGTTTATACCATTTTGAATAGACACTACAATCAGTTTGGTAACTTTCGAATAAGATTCAGGTTTATGCATACTTGTTTGTTAGATGTTTGGTGGATGGTGACTAGCAGTGGAATCTAGAAGGCACATTTCGTCCTATTTGGGACTCGTCATACCTTGGGTGTAGCTGCAATCTCTACCAAAAGAGTTATCCACTGGGACACTGAGATCATGACAGCCACCTCTCGTATTTCTTGTTGATTGAGTCTCACTGGGAACGCTATCACTCTCACTAGAGATTGCAGAAACATCCGAGTGACGAGTCCTAGATAGAATGAAATTCACATCCTGGATTCTACTGTTAATCACCATCCATCAAGCAACATCGTGTTGATCGTCCGACACCTTTCGTAGCATCTGTACTAGTGTAGCCGCCGCATGTTGACAGAGACAACATTTCTAATGGGAATTCGTGACCAGTAGGGTACAGCAGGTCAGGAATGAGGAGAAATACTCGTCGAAGACATTGGCTAGCGTTCGCTCTATGTCGTGAATTGGCAAAAGTTGGAATTCATTGGCCATGGGATCGGGTCCCAGTGGCTTAATGGTCTATGAGCTCGTTGGCCTTGTAACCAGAAGGTTCTGGGGTCGAACCC